CTTCCTTTGTTCCTCTTTCTTTTTTCTTTTCCTTCGTTCCTTTCTCTTCCTTCTTTCTTTCTTTCTTTCTTTCTTTCTTTCTTTCTTTCTTTCTTTCTTTCTTTCTTTCTTTCCTTCCTTCCTTCCTTCCTTCCTCCCTCCCTCCCTCCCTCCCTCCCTCCTTTCTTTCTTTCTTTCTTTCTTTCTTTCTTTCTTTCTTCTCTTTCTCTTCCTTTGTTCCTCTTTCTTTTTTCTTTCTCTTCCTTCTTTCCCTCTTTCTTTCTTTCCTTCCTTCTTTCCTTCCTTCCTTCCTTCCTTCCTTCCTTCCTTCCTTCCTTCCTTCCTTCCTTCCTTCCTTCCTTCTTTCTTTCTTTCCTTTCTTTCTCTCTCTCTCTCTCTCCCCCCTCTCCCTCTCTTTCCATTTTCCATTCTGCCCTGTTGCATTTATATTTCTCTTTAAGACTTTGCTTCAAATCTAATGAAGTCCCTTTCGCCCCGTAACCCCCCCCCCCCGAAGAATGCTCTTCTTTTATTCCCCCTTTTTTTAACACTCTCTTTCCCCCCCCCCCCCCAATTGCATAAAAATGGGGATTAAATTGCCCCTAGCTCCCCCCCCCCCCCCCCCACCCTTCGGCCTCCCCTTCTAGAGGGAGTTTCAGATTTCTTTTCCAGGATTTCAAGAGATGCAAAAACGGCCTCATGTTTTAAGCAGCCAACAGTTGCTGGGCGTACATTCTCCGAATATCTTGCAAATGGAACGTGCAAACTCTGTTTAATTCCTCCCTCCCTCCCTCCCTCCCTCTCGAATTTGCAAGCCGTTTAACTGGAATCTTGTCTTGCGCCGATGCAAGTCTGCGGTTTTTTTTTTCCTCTCCCAGGATGGGTGGATGGATGGAGTGATCTTGTGACTTTCTCAGAGCACCGAACAGATATCTGTTATTTTAAAAATAATAATAATAATTTTCCTGCCTCTGTAATATCCCTTTCTAATATCCCTTTCTCCCAGCCAACTCCCCAAAGGAGCAGGAAGCGTAGATCATGCTGAATTTATAAAAGTAATTTATCAAAGAAAATGTGACTGTTATTTGACATTGTTTACAGCTCTTTTTAAAAGTCTTAATTGGTTCTCTTTTGAACGTTCTTTGTAAAAAAAAAAATGAGCGTTAAGTTTTGGAATAATGGGGAGAAGGGGGAAAATAAACAGAGACTCGGGATTCCAAGCAAATGAATAAATTAAACACGACGAATTGGAATTCTTTGCTTATCTGTTGCTGTATATTTCATGCTTTATAACGGGAACTGGGATGTGCATTTTAAAAACCATCCAACAGGGGGCGCTTTGGCAGGGAGAAAGCCTGAAGAGAAACGCCTTCTGGCCTCCAGGGGGTGGTGACAAAAGGCTGCTATGCACAAAATATATATTTTTTGCATCTGTCAATCAAACCCAGGCAATTCCCGAGCCTTCCAGCATCTGTATTTGCAGTTGGAGCAGCTGCTGGGCTCTTGATGTTGATCGGAAACGCATCTGGTGGGATGTTGCTAGATGTGACTCAGTTTCCCCTGTGGGTTCTCCCCACCCTCAGTTTATGGCTTCTGAGATCCTCTGTTAGCCCCTCCGAGGAGTTTTAAAAATAACAACAACCAGAACTGATAATGGTGAGTAGGCACAGTATTATTTCCCTGTATACGGTTTACAAAATATATTCTATGTAAAGTTATTTATATACGTACAATTATATGTCTTTCAGAACAGAGGTGGCCCCCAAGTCCTTTTACAACGAGGAGGAATGCTAAAACCTATTTGCTCTTCCCCTACAAACTGGCTGAAGTGAGTATAATTCGGATTAATTCTCGGGTGGCCCATTGGTGCGTGAACCCAACCAAGCAGGGTGCAGAAGGGCCCAAAATGCAGGGATATGATTTGCCGTTATCTTGGGGGGGCTGCAAAACACACAGGAAATGTGGGAGACTCCCTCCTGAATGAACTCTGACTTATAACGGAGTTGGAAGGCACCTCGGAGGCCTTCTAGTCTAACCCCTTGCTCGACTCTTGCTTCTTCTATCTTGAAAGGTTGCTGTGATGCCAATTTTTAAGGGTGGGGCGGGACTTTGATGTTCTCCTAAGAAGAAGTGGATATTTTTCAGGTGGGCACTCATTCCCATGATTCCCAGCATGTTCACTCTTGAAAGTTGATGGGACTCGGAGTCCGGGGGCAATCGGGAGCTATGCCACTGGAAGGCCAACTCCCAACTCCAACAGAAAGGGGAACGTATTTCCTGGCGTTACCTAGGTTTGATGACCCGTGGAAGAACCTCCATAGCTGGTGGCCCAGGAGTCCTGGCCGTCACCCCACCAGCAAAGTTGGATCTGTCATAGCTGGAGGACAAGACACACGAGAAGGTAACTTCTCAATCTTACGGGGATTCCCGATTCAGACAATACTTTTGTCCTCCGGGGTTTTAGCCAGGAGACCAAGCAAACCTCCCACAAACCTAGTTCACCCTGGTTTCTTTTGGGAGTGAGATTAGGTGCTGCTGTGGTTAAGAAATTAGCAAAAGTCCATAGAGTCTCCCACTTACTACCTGATGCCTAACACAAGAAGAGTCTAATCCAACCGTCCAACCTTGAAGACCTTGGCAACAATTGGTCACATTTATGGGGGATCCAATGGCTAGTCTCAGATTAAGGGGCTGGGACCCCTGTGCCCCTCAACCCATCCCGATAGTTTCCAAGAAGTTGCTGGCTGGAAACGCCCAACGTTTCGATGTCGGAAGAAGAAGAAGGAAGTCCCCGCTGGCTTGGAGGTGAACATTCTTCACTAGCCTTGGAACCCAACCGCTCTGCAGTCCAGATGCTTTCCCTCTGTGGGAAGTCCTTGTGGTTCCCCTGTTTTTTAGGGGGCTATGCCATGCTGCTGGTGGAACAAGGGGTGCTTTGAGTGCTGCCCAAACTGTGGTTGGTGCTGCTGCTCTCCGATGCAGGCGGGTTCGCCGAGGCTGGTTGGGTTTTGGTGATGGGACCTGGAATGGGGTAGAAGTCCACACAAAGGGTTAGGAGAATTATGTTAGGAGAAGGACCAGGTGGAGAGAATTCTAGAGTCCTTTGCTGCTCTCTGAGTTGAGTTGAGTTGAGTTGAGTTAGTTTGCAGGTGGGTCACGACCCATCTAGATAATATCAAGGGTACCAGGTAAAGAGAAGGACTAAGGGCGACATGATAGCACCTGGTAGTGAGTGGGAAACTTACAATTTCTAAGGGGCTACTACAAAGAAGAAGGGGTCAACCTATTCTGCAAACCACAAGAAGGTAGGATGAGAAGCAATGGGTGGAAATTAATCCAGGAGAGAACCAACCTAAAACTAAGGAGGAATTTCCTGAATAATGAACCAGTGGAACTGCTTCCCACCAGAAGTTGTGGGTGCTCCATCACTGGAGGTTTTAAAGAAAAGATTGGCCAAGCATTTGTCTGCAATGGTGCTGGGTCTTCTGCCCCAGCAGAGGTTGGAGTAGAAGACCGCCAAGGTCCCTTCCAACTTTGTCATTCTGTTGATGTTCCCTAGTTGGGTGATGAAACATCTGCAAGCCAACTCAACTCAAAAAAACAGCAGGGATCCCTCAATTCAACCCCGAGCTACAGACACTGTCTCCTGCTGGGGAAAATTTTCCCATGCTGGGACCCAACTGGGAGCTGACAAGGAGACAGAAAGCACATGGCGGAAAGCTCTTTGGCTTTGCCAAATCCCAACGGGGTTGACCAAATGCTTTCCCACTGCCTTCTCCAGCAGGGGTGAACCTTGCCAGACCCATCACAAAAAAGCAGATAAAGATTTCAGGGATGGCGGCTCCTCCATTTTTCCAGAGATTATTAAGGAAAATATGCAGGTTGGGCTGCCAAAGGGGACCGGATGTCTCCTGTTGGGAATTGGGAGGGGAAGACGGGAGAATAAAGATAAGGGGTTCCCGAATGGAAAAATGGCAAATTCCATCTTTTGCATCTCGAGATAACGCTGGGAAAGATGGCTTACTCTAATTCTCCTGCTCCACTTGGTCATCTTGAGCTAAACCGATGGCCGAAGAGCTTGGGATGTTTCCATTATAACTGCGTTCCTCCAGAATTTTCTTGAGAAAAGTTCTCCACTCCTCCATTCACAGTAGAATCCCTTATTCCTCCAGGCTCGAAATTTTGGGCCTGGACAATCTGGAACTGTGGTTCCAATCTAAGCATAGTGCACAACATTGTCTACTACAACATCTTGCCTGTCAATGACTTCTCCAGCTTCAACCACAATAACACACGGGCAAACAACCGATACAAACTCAAAAAGTAGACCGCTTCAGACTCGATTGCAGAAAATACAACTTCAGCAACAGAGTGGTCAGTGCCTGGAACTCACTACCTGACTCTATTGTTACATCCTCAAGCCCCCCAAAACTTTAAACTGTCTACCGTGGACCTCACCCCATTCCTAAGAGGTCTATAAGGGGGCATGCATAAGTGCACCAGTGTGCCTACTGTCCCTGTCTTACTGTCACCATTTATCTGTATCTACTTCCTTTGTTCCTGTTTATGTTCCTACGTACACTTGTTATCTTGTACGTGTTTGACAAACAAATAAAATAAAAATAAATAAGAATCATGAGGACTAGCGACCACAAAGCAGAAATCCAATTTCTGGTGCCCGCAAACAACCTCCCCTTGGGTTGTTGAGCTCTGACCACAACATTCACCTCTAAAGGGGGTTCACCTGGGTTGGGGGTCATTCCCCCCCACCCCTCTCCATCATGCAAACAACCACAACTTACGAGTGTGAGAATAGATGTACCACAAGGCCCCGGTGAGCAGGACTCCGATCAAAAATGCTCCAAAGGCAATTCCCAGCACAGTGCTAATCCTCAATCCTTCATCTATAGAGAAGGAATGAAAGAATTAGATTAGCTTTACTTATTTATTATTTTAAAATATATATGTTTTATCGATATATTTTTTCTTTTGTAAACGTAAAAAAACACATCTATAGGAACAGCATGTTGTCTGAGCACAATTTGTTTTGAATGACAAAAAGACAATAAACATAATAATATGCATATCGCTAATAATGGTCACATAATATTATTGATATTAGTTTATCCATACTAGGAAACGTCTGTTATGTGATTAATCATTCTCTTAAATCTTTTTCGTTTCTAACCTCTCTTTCTGTTCGTTAGCCATTGGCAAAACAAATTCCATGTTAAGAAATGGTCTGTTTCTTCTTTCTCCTTTATTTTGAAAGTTAATCTATCCATCTCTGCACATTCTAATATTTTTTTTATAACACTTCCACCTGAAGGGATCTCTTCATTTTTTTCCACCGTTGTGCTAAAACAATTCTTGCTGCTGTTAAACGCAGGTAAAATTAGACACTGTATATATTTCCTTGATTGTACAGTTCTGGTAAAATACCCAACAGGAATAATTCTGGTCAAAAAGTCAATATGTTGCTTTATGATTTTTTTTTCTAACCACGTATGTATTTTTGGTCCAATATTTTTTTTTGCCTTTGGGCATGTCCACCACATACGATAATACGAATCTAGTATCTGATTGCATTCCCAACATTTGGTGGACATGTTTTCAAACATCTCTGCCAGTCTTGCTGGTGGGAAGTGCCACCTATAAAACATTTTATGTAGCTTTTCCTTATATGCAGTTGACATTGTTATAATTTATAATTTCTATCCCACAGATTAGCCTTATTGATTAGCCTATGGGCCATATCAAAAATACAAGGTTCAAACATGTATTACCAATAAAATCCTATAAAAACAAATTAACATAAGAATAGGGTGAAATGCAATAATTATAGGATAAAATACAAGATACAAGGCCTTTGTCTTGTATTTCTCTCTTGGAACCAGGTTGGGTCAGAACACGCTCTCGCTGTGAAGTTCGGTATGTTTTTTTTCTCCCCAAGCGACACCTTTCTTAAGACCAGTTTCTCCTGAGACGGTCCTGTGCCAAAACAAGGACACTGAATATGTGAAGGAACATCATTCGACGTGCGCGATGTGCTCGGCCGGGGCCCTCCGGGGCCGAGTTCGTGTCAAAGAGTTTTTCCTCATGTTATTGTTTCGCCGTCCGGCGGGAGCCGCACAGGAGCGAGGCAGGAAGGAAGACCTCCGAAGGACGGAAAACATCCATATTGGAAATGCTACTCAATTGGCAGGAAGGAATTGCGAAGAGGCCCCTTTCCATGCCTGCCTCCCTCATCCTTGTGTCCCTACAACCACAAAAAACCCCAAAGCAGTCACTGTGAGAGGGATCTTGGAGTCTTAGAGGACAACCAGCTAAATAGGAGTCAACAGTGTGTGGCGGCAGCCAAAAAAGCCAATGCAATCCCAAGTTGCATTAACAGGAATACAATCAAGATCAAGTGAGGTACTGATACCACTCTATAAAGCCTTAGTAAGGCCACACCTAGAGTCCTGCATCCAGTTTTGGTCACCACAATATAAAAAAGATGCTGAGACTCTGGAAAGAGGGCAGAGAAGAGCAACCAGGATGATTAGGGGACTGGAGACTAAAACATATGACGAACGGTTGCAGGAACTGGGCCTGGCTAGTCTGGTGAAGAGAAGGACCAGGGGAGACAGGAGAGCATCTTCCAATATTTGAGGGGCTGCCACAGAGAGGAGGAGGGGGGTCAAAGCTATTTTCCAAGGCACCCGAAGGCCAGACAAGGAATAATGGATGGAAACTGAACAAGGAGAGATTCAACCTGGAAATAAGGAGGAATTTTCTGACAGGGAGAACAATCAACCCATGGAACAGAAGTTGTGGGAGCTTCATCCCTGAAAGCTTTTAAGAAAAGACTGGACCTGTCAGAAATGGTGTAGGGTCTCCTGCTTGGGCAGGGGGTTGGACTAGATGACCTACAAGGTCCCTTCCAACTCTATTCTAATTGATTGATTCAACCTAGAAATAAGGAGAAATTTTCTGACAGGGAGAACAACCGACCCGTGGAATAGAAATTGTGGGAGCTTCATCGCTGGAAGCTTTCAAGAAGAGACTGGACTGCCATTGGTCAGAAGTGGTGTAGGGTCTCCTGCTTGGGTGGGGGGGAAGGGTTGGACTAGATGACCTACAAGGTCCCTTCCAACTCTGTTAATCTAATCCAAATCTTTAGTCAGCAGGAATAATGCTGGTGTCAGGCTTCCGACGATTTCATTCTTGTGGGAGTCATCCTTTTTATGAAGCGGCTTCGTTTTATTTTGGCAAATCTGATTTCTTCATCCTACACATGTCCAGTGGGAAATATTATGCGTCTACACAAGTGTCCGGGGGAAATGGCTACCGCAACACAAGAAAGAAAGGAAGAATAGGAATATATATATATTTTTTAAAAAATCCACCTTTCTCTGCAAGGTTTTGATGGACGACAACTCATACTAGAAAAGACACAGATGTTTCTCCTTGTGAAACAAAGCTGCATCCGCCTTCCTTCACCAAACCCCCATCAAATTTGCCATTTTTAATGTAACCGATTAAAGAAACAGTTTGACACAGGGACTACAAATTGTCTTATTAGCTGGGGTGCATTTGAAAATGAAACTGGGTTTAGTTTCATCCTGGTTTTATGTGCTTCTTTCTCCAGATTCTCCTTGCTTTTGGGGAACTGGACCTCCTGAGACCTAAAACTCTACCGAATTGTCCTCAAATTCGAAACCCTGCAAGGGGACATCGTCTCAAGGTCTACTTCCCATGGAGACGTGGACATCTGCTACGAGAAGAAAGCTAAGGAGATTCTCAGGAAGGTGTTCTCCTTTTTTGGAAATCTCTCTTTTGCCCCTGAATCCAAAATCTTTTGCGCTCTTCCCTTCCTTCACCCCCTGGTAGCCTCCAGGAGGAACCTCTGGACTTGGTGGCCACATGCCAAGGTTTGGACCTGTTTTTGCAGCCAGCAGAATTCTCTTTATCTCTTGAACTTCCGTCTGGAAAGATGTGATTCTTCCTGCTTTCTCAACTCCTCTCGTTTATCTCCTTCCCTGGCGCAGACGGGTGGACGCCAGCCGTGCTCCGCCAAGTCAAAAGCCACATCGGCTTGGGATAACAGAGGAGATAAGATCCTTCGGGTGAAGCTGTCACTGTTCTGCATCAAAAATGACACCTCACCCACCATTATCCCACTTCTGACTTTTGGGCAGGGCCAGTTGGCTTCCGTTCTAAAACTAAATCCTCTTCCGTTGTCCGTGTGTACTTTCTCTAGCCATGGCTCCGTGCTCAGAGGTGTCCCCAGCCAAGGTCATGGTGCACGCCTTCCGGCTGGGCCACGGGGCCCACCCAGTGTGGCCCTTGTGGAGATAGAAGTGCAGGCATTGGCAGATTGTCACCGTCATGAAGTGATCGGGACATGGCTATTGAGCCGGGCGAAGGAGAAAAATGGAGACTTACCACTTTGAGCGCGAGTTTCAGAAGTGGGACACCATAATGCAAATTCTGTCTAAAGAAGGATAACATGATAGCAGTCTTTCAGTATTTGAGGGGCTGCCCCAAAGAAGAGGTGGGTCAACTTATTTTCCAAAGCCACCAGAAGGCAAGACAAGAATCAATGGATGGAATATAATCCAGGAGAGAATCAACCCAGAACTAAGTAGAAATTTCCTGAAAATGAGAACAATTAATCAAGTGGAACAGCTTCCCTCCAGAAGTTGTGGCTGCTCCATCACTGGAGGTTTTCAAGAAGAGACTGGACAGCCACTTGTCTGAAATGGTTTAGGGCAGGGGTCTTCAAACTTGACTTGTGGACTTCAACTCCCAGAATTCCTCCTCCAGTCATGTTAGCTCAAGAATTCTGGGAGTTGAAGTCCACAAGTCTTAAACTTGCCAAGTTTGAAGATCCTTGAGCAGGGAGTTGGAATATAAGACTTCCAAGGTTCCTTCCAATGCTGTTATTCTGTTATAAACGCTCACCAGAGGGCAGCAGGAGATATTGAAAACTCACTCTTTCCTGCCACCTAGTGGGTGTCGGATTTTTCACCTTTGGTAAGTTAAAAAAAAAAAACATCAAGACATGGCAGGGTGGTTTTTGCCAAACATAGTAGAGGCCAGCACCACAAAAGGAGAAGTGTTAAAAGAATTTTTGGGAAGGCTAAACCAGGCAGAAAGAGGAAAGAATAGCTCTCAACAGATTCTGAATCCAAACCACACAAACGCCATCATGGAAGTGAGTTCTTTTGGATCACTTTGTCTTTGAGAGTGCATAAGGTTTAGGAGTTGAAAAAGTGTTTTGAACCATCTGTGGGTGTTTAGAGGAGCTTTCCATTTTCTAAGCTCAGCATCAGAAAGCTGATTTTGAAGAGAGAGGGTGGGTGCCTTCCCACAAACAGACGTATAAATGCATGAACCAGCTTTTCTGTGCAAAAGAGCAAATAAACGGATCAATTTTGTGTAGGGAAGAGTTGTCAACTCACTGTGGGATCCAGGGTTATAATTTTTCAGCATCACTTCTAAAGAGCCTTCGTAGCTTCGGAGTTTGCCGTTCTAAAAAGGAAGGGAAAAATACGTTCAGTTTTTAAACGAAAGGGAATTCTTCCTCCTTTTCTTTTATCTGCTTCATTTGGCAATAGTAAATTTATTTTTTCCGGAGTTCTTAGGGACATTAGTACTGAACATCTTCCAACACAGACCAAGTACAGAAAACAAAGTTAATTCCTGTTATGCAAAAGAACACAGATAGTCCTCAACATACAACGTAACAGAGCCCAGAATGTTTGCACCGTAGGTCACAACATTTGTAAATCGAGGCACTCATGGAGCCAACCCAATTTTACGACACTATTTGTGGTAGTCTTAAGGAAACATGGTTGTTAAAGTGAACCCATTTTCTTTAGTGGGCATTTTTGGCTAGAAACTGGAAATAAACCTGGTTTAAGGCAGTCAATGTTATTAAATTGCAGGGTCATGTCATTGCAGGATGATGCAAATGGCCTTAAATGAGGGCTGGTTGCCCGGCAGCCAAAATACAATTGCAGGACCACCTGTAGAATTTGGAAGCCAGGTCTTCTGTTTTTTGAGGGCTGTCATAGTCTCGAACGGTCACTGAGCAACCAGAACTGCCTGGAGAAAAAGATGCTGGCTGGTTCTAAAGACGTTTTGAAATGAAGCAGATAAGAGTTGAGGTCACCCTGCTTGGGTGGGTGGGGTTGGACTAGATGGCCTACAAGGTCCCTTCCAACTCCATTAATCTGTAAAAACCTCACCATCCAGCTTCCAAAACCAATGCATAGCAATAAGAGTTGCATACCGTTTCACAGTGCCTTTACAGCCCTTTCTAAGCTGTTTATAGAGTCAACCTCTTGCCCCAACAATCTGGGTCCTCATTAGGCCAGAAGGATGGGAGGTTGAGTGAACATTGAGCTAGTTAGGGTCGAACTGATGGCAGTGGGCAGAGTTAGCCTACCATACTGCATTTTAATCACTGTGCCATCATGGCTCTCACAGCTCTTAGATCGAGACAAAGTTAGAGATAAGAGATAGGATAGATAGACAGACAGACATAGAAATAAATAGATAGCAATAGCCCTTAGACTTATATCCCGCTTCACAGTGCTTTCCAGCCCTCTCTAAGCGGTTTACGGGGTCAGCCTATTTGCCCCCAACAATCTGGGTCCTCATTTTACCCATCTCGGAAGGACGGAAGGCTGAGTCAACTTTGAACCGGTCAAGATTGAACTCTTGACTCTGGGCAGATTTAGCCTGCAATGCTGCTTTCTAACCACTGCACCACCAGAGCAGATAGATAGATAGATAGATAGATAGATAGATAGATAGATAGATAGA